ACACAATCAGCCTTCATGTGGCCTTAGAGTTCAGTGAGAAAGAAATTTTTAAAAAGCAAATAAGTAAATAAGCAGAATCATTAGAAGTTGTGAAAAGTTCTGTAAAAGAAATTATCAGGTTGCTAAAACAGAGATTAAAGAAGAAACCTCTTTTAGATTGGGCAGTCAGTGAAGGTCCATTTGAGAAGGTGATATACATAAAAGAAAAGAAAAATCAGCCATGAAAAGAGGTGAAAGGAAGTATGTTCTGGGCAGACATGTAAGACCCGAGGTAGGAAATAGCTTGGCCCTCTTGAGTGACAGAAAGGAAGCCAGTGCAGGTAAATACAGTAAGGGACCAGAGACATGGCAAAAGACCCTTGGCATATCCTGTTTGCTGATGGGGACTTTTCAGTATTTGCCATATTAAGTCTCCTTCTTAATTTAGGAAGTTATGGGATTGAAAAACTGACCTTGGTTCTTAGAACACAGTAGTGCAAGTAGTACAAAATCCAATCACTGCATTGTAAGAGAGAGTTTATAAAAGTTATGATAAAGAACTAATACTTAAGTATGTGTTGTTTTATAAGGTTCTTATATCCCACTCTCTGTCAAAAAAAGTACATATCCTTGCTGATTTGTGTTTTTATTAAGTTAGAAAATGATGAAAGCCCACCTCTCAGTGTCTCAAATAAGAAACATTGTAATTGGATATCAATACTACCATTCATCTGAGTTATAAAAGAATGTGTAAGGCTGTACTCCACCTCGCCTTTGGAAGAAGTTACCAACTATGTTCACAGACCTTAACGATAGATGAATCTTATTTATCTTCCTCTTTTAAGACAGGGGAAAAGTAGGATAGGAATAGCAATTGCAACTGTCCAGAATTCTGAAATAAAGAAAGAAACCTTACCAGCTGAGGACTGAGGAACTGTGTGGGTAAAATTTCATTATTATTCAATATTAGCTTGGATAGAAATAATAAAAGGAATTTTGGTGAAAACCTTTTGACTGACTTCTCTTGGAGTTCTGAATCCTCATTTCATTTCTTAATGAAAGAACCAAACAATTAGGGCTTGACAAAGAGGAGGCAGACCAGGGCCTACAGGGGCCTGATTATACCTGGCCTTGAAGCCAATGGTATGGAGATTGGATTTTGATCTAAATGTAATGGTAAGCCATTGAAGAGTCTTAGCCTGGAAAATCATTTGGTCCAATACATGTTTTAAGAAGCTGTATGTCTTAAGTAGCGCAGACTATAAATTCTATATTGGGAGATTAGTGTTTGCTGATCACAGAGAGATGGACTTCTGAGTGGAGATAAAACTGGGACTTTAAATGATGGGTGAAATTAGATAAGTAGAGGAGAGAATAAGAGAGGGTATTCATGGTAAGTGGAATGAAATGAGAAAAGGTTTTGAAGCAGGCAGGGGTAGGAGAAGGTAGGGAATATACCCGTTTGACTTGGGTATATTAAGTTCTGATCAAATGATAGTGGACTCTGCACATAAGACTTAGGAACATTTAGGTAACCGGAAAGTCTAAAGATGTTACATGCATGATCTAATGGAAGGAAAGCTTCAGAAACACAAATTTGTTGGAAATGTGAAAGGAGGAGCCATTTGAAAGTGGAGAAAGAAGTAAAAAAACTAAATAAGAAAAATGTGAACAACAAAATAAAGTGTGAAGACATTCATTTCCTTTTTTATTTCCAGTTAAAACCTAGATAAGCTTGGTAGTGGTAGTGTTATTCTTTGATTAGTGGGTCAGGGAGAAATAGAGAGCAAGACCAGGATAAATGCAGCTGGAGCTAGGGCTAGCTGCAGGATGGGTCCCAAGGGAAGGTGACAAGAATCAAAATTACACTGAACATGGCAACTTGGGCCTGGAAGGATTCAGTGGTATTCAGAGTCTAATATGGAAGGTGGGGAATGGTGGCTTGTGTCATGTATGTGTTGATATAATCATTAGTCAGGGTTAGAGTCAGGTAAGTGGTCCTAAGGGAGTGAGAATGAAGAGGACGCACCAAAAAGAAGGACTAACAGGCTAGGCTGTTGATTAAAATCCATGATGGAAGTTAAGGAATTTACCACGATTCAGTCATAATACAGGTATCCAAGGTTGCATTTTGGGTATTCTGACTTTAAGTAGGTAAAATACTAATTAAATATCCCAGCCATTAAGGAAAAGGGGCACCTGATACATTGCAAGCCTTGGTTCCAGTGGTCTTAGGGCCTGGACAAATCTGAGACTGCTTAAAGCAGGAAGATAATATGGTATAATGCAAAAGAGCCCAGGAACCAGGACTCATAACCTGGGTACTTTCTGTCCCTTACTAGCTGGGTGAGAAACTATAAATCTTTTTGAACCTTTCTTTTTCTAAAATACATGAATAAAAATACCTAAATGGCATAGTTCCTACGAAAATGTTTGTAAAAGAGCTTGTTACAGAAAACGGTTTGTTAAATGGCAGTTTTTTTTAAAAAAAAAATTACCCTGAAGGACTATTACACAATCTGAAATACCTATTCATTTCCCCAGTGCTCTGAGATAAAGAAGTCGTAAGGATAAACATAAGCATTGTGTCTCTGCCTCGTGGGCCACAAATGGGCATATATTGATGGTAAATAATGAAGAACATCAGACATAATGGTTCAGAATGTGCAGCGAGTCCTTGGTGAGACTGATCTTTATGCTCACCTCTAGATCATTGGTATCTCATGATATTTTAGACTCTAGCTGCTCAGAGTCCAAGGAAAAATTATTATAAGCATCAGTCCCTTATGAAGACATTTGAACAATGACAGAGCATCCAGGTTACTTGGCAGTTGGTGCAGAGGAAAAGTGTTCCACATTAATGAATCTGCATACAGAAAAGCCCAGTATGCTTACAGGAAAAGTGACTTTAAAAGACTAACATGTTATACTTTGGGTATAATGAAAATAAAATTATGCATAAAAAGCAAAGTTATTATGGAAAAGAAATGGTGGGTACTTAGTAAGTGATATAGTAGAGCTACTGAAAGTTCCTGAAAGATAAAGTAGAATTACATAGAGGAAATGTGATCCCAAAGGAAGGGGAAGAGATTGTTTAAGGGAGAAGTCCCTCCATGTGTTCGCTTAGAACTTGTACTTCCACCATCCTAGCACTTACTATCGTCGAATGTAATTGAACATCTGTCTGTTTCCCCCATGAATTCACAAGCTCCACACGAAGAGGAAGTCAGTCTAACTTGTTTACAATTCTTGCTGCAATCCCCAGTGTCTAGTGCAGTGTTTGGCACATAGTAGATGCTTAATAAGTATTTGAATAATGAATAATCAAGCAGGCATCATAGAAAATATTGTAGCAATCCATACGGAAAATAAGGAAATATAAGGAATTTCATAGGTAGAAAAATAAGAAAAGAGGCAGTGTAGCACATAGGCAGATATATTTTTAAAAATGCCCTAATGTTTCATGTCTATAAAATGAGAACCCAACTTCCTCATCTGTGACCCTGATGAAAAAGAGAAGAGATAAAGAAAGATTAATTGTAAGTTGTAGGAGAGTATATATTAAATTGTGACCATAATGGCTAAAAATCAGATTCAAGGTCAATTTATAGTGAAAATAATTGTGATTTCTGTTTATGACTTTAAAAGGTAAATATCATTGGCCTTTTTAAATATATGATTCAGTCTTGGAAAATTTTATGAAAATGAAAAGGAGAAATAATCCGCTGGTATAAAATTAAAATGTAATCAGGAACAGTAAAAACAATACGGTTGTTAATTTAGCACTGAAGAAGACAAGACTCCAGGTCCAAAAGCCTCACAGACTAACTTTGACAAATGTGACCCATGGGAGATGCAGGATGACCTGAAGGTGTTGGAATTGAATGTACACATCTATTGCTATATGTTACAGCTGGATGATTTAAGAGACCCCCAAAGCTAATGAATATCACAAGGAACCAGAAACTCCCTCGACAGCTATGTATACATGTGTAAAATAACAAAGAATCTGAATGCAAGTGTTTGTATTTCATCACTCAGTCTGAAATTCTATCCAATGTATTCAAGCCCAGAGAAATGTGCAGCTTTAGCAAAAATCAGTCCCTCCCTTGAAACAAAATATTAATGTTACCAGTGATGCACCCACTTTTCTAGGCATTCTTCATTTCAGATGTTCTTAATAGAACTCTGACACTGCATCCAATCAATCCATATTAAAGGGCCAGCAATAGGATTTGACATTTCTCCTGGAAAATTACACGTGTTAATATAAAATCTGGGCATTTGCCACAGAGTTATTTTGTATTAAGTGAAAACTGCTGCCTAAGAAAACAAAAAATTTTGCCTGAAGAAAACTTGGAACTTTTTATCGAGCTTAATTTGATATTGAAATTCAAAAAATAAGACAGGATAAATATATTGCTTTTTCTATGCTGATATTTATGCATCAAACAAAACTACTTTTGCTGTTTGTGTCCTTGTGTTTTCTATGATACACTTTATCCCACATTAAGTCTAACTCTAAAACAACAAACTTGTCAAAAGTAATAAAATTTAGCTTAAGGGAAAATCTGTTAAAGTTTGGGTGGACTGGGCTAATTGGACAACCAGACAGAGTACATAGTATCTTTATAGAAAGACTGTGGTTATATTGTGGACAGTTTATATCTTCTCCTAGGATATAAAATATTATTATATTATACCAAGAATAACTGCAATTCTTATTAACTTCTGCCCAATATAATAGATGTCTTTAATGTCAGAAACATCATTTTCAAGATTTGGACATTTAAAAAGGCATTGAGGCATTAGGCCGGCCCCAGGGCTGAGTGGTTAAGATCACACACTCCACCTCGGCGGCCCAGGGTTTCGCCGGTTGGGATCCTGGGTGCAGACATGGCACTACTCGTCAGGGCATGTTAAGGTGGTGTCCCACATAGCACAACCAGAGGCACTCACAAGTAGAATATACAACTATGTACTGGGGGGTTTTGGGGAGAAGAAAAAGGAAAGAAAAAAAAAAGAATATTGGTAACATATGTTAGCTCAGGTGCCAATCTTTAAAAAAAAAAGGCATTGAGTATATACTATAGTCCTCCCTCTTTGATACGTAATTACATTCCTTAATATATACTGATTTTTATGGCCAAAATTTGACTGCTAATACCATTAATTCAGTCCAATCCATATTTGCTCATATTTTTACAAGACAAAAACACAAACTCAAATTAAAATGTCATACTGACAATCTCATTTAATAATAATAGATTAGATGAGCATGAAAGCTCAAATGTTATAGGCATCAACATTCCATGCTTTTTGACAACTAAATCTTGTCTGGCAGGAGAGAGTCTAAGTTTTGCTTGGACCACATTAGCCTCTCCTTCTCTGCTCAAGCTCTTGAATTTAGATAGCTAAAGGAATTATTCATGGATCTTCTTCTTTTCTCTGTCTAGGGTGTATCACTGGGTGATCGTACCCACTTACAGGGCTTTACACAACATCTCTAGCATAGACCACTCGCCCAAACTCGAACTGTCTTTTACATCTCCACTTGGATGTCACATGTCCATTTTAGAATCTATTCTCCACAGCATTATATTTTAAAAATGTGAACAAGATTGTGCCTTTTTTCTGGTTAAATTTCCTCAGTGGCTTCCCTTTCTTTTGGAAAAAAATTCAAATTCCTTACCATGGTCTCAAAGGCCCTGCCTGAAGATTTCTTTCCAGTTCTTCCCATCCTGTCTCCATCGCTCATAGCTATTCTGGTTTTCTTTCCCTTCCTCGGAGGAACTAAAGTCTGCTCTTTTCAGGCCATTAGTCTTGTTCCTGGACTGCTCTGCTTTTCCTGAAGCTGTTTCCCTGTGCTTGCTTACCCTCAACCTTGGTTCAAGGAGCAAAGAGCACCCGCTCAGAGGCTTTCCCTGACCACCTTCCTAAAGTCTCTTTTCCCATTGGCTCTCCTTCTCCTCACCCACATTTTTTTCAGCTTAGTACTAAACACAATCTGAAATTATCTTGAGTTTTTAATATTTAGAATTCTATAAACACTCTTTTGTTCTCCCACCTTTCTACTTGTGCCCTACTCCCTCAGCTAGAGGCCTTCATTGTCTCAGGGAGGATTAGCGTTGCTATAGCATGAAGGCAAGGAAAAGACGGAATCAGGGTTCTGCCTATTTCAGTGACAGCAGTTATGAAACAGGAATTCTTTTGATTTATAAGAGCTTTGTAGAAAGAAAAGGGTTCCTGAGGAGGAAAACCATTTTTTCCTGAAGTTCTGAAGGAGTTTTAGTTTATCTGTACATGACAGTTTTAAAAGAAAATAGATTGAAAAGTATTGAGTGTTGTAGAAAATGAAGGATTGTGAAAAGTATAAATGAGGGGTCAAGCGAGGTAGAGATGAGGAACTTTAATTAATTTTACCATTCTCCACACGATAGGTTTAAAGGAGGGAGAGACTGGAGGCCGTTTCCCCTGCTTCGAATAGAGACTCAGTCAGATTTACTGGGATCGACTTTTGTTTTCGCTGTCTACTAGCTGAGAGTCTTTGAGCCAGATGCCCTAGTTGTCTTATCTGTAAAATGAAGAGAATAATACTTCCTACCTCATAGAATCCTGAGTATTAAAGTAGTTAATACATGTACAGCACTTAGAACAAGGTCTAACACATAGTAAGAGCTCAGTATTTACTAGTTTTTATTAGCATCTACATAACAACCTCTCATTCATTGTTTAAAATTGTGGTTAGGCCTCATCTCCTCTCTGAAGATTTTTAAGGTTATCCCTTTTCTAATCACCTCTCCCTCAACATATACACACACAAAGTATTTGCATCTCTGGTCTTTCTATCTACTTGAATTACTCAGTATCACGAAGAAATTTACTGCCAATCCAAAATTGGTAAGCTAGATTAAAAGGGGTTAAATTTTTCTCAATTATTTACAATTCTTTTTAGAGGAACGAAAGTTTCTGTAATGCTAGTTTCTTAGAAATATATTTTTAAAAAATTGTGAGATTGCAGAATTTTAAATTACAGATAAAGTTTCTTTTCCCAAAGGAGGTTTATCAAGCACATTATTAACTTAATTTTTAAAAAAGAGCTTGAGAGGAGAATTTATTTGAGGTTCTCAAGTATTAAACTTTTATAAACTAAAAATTTCTCTAAGTGCCTTATTATTGGGAGGGGCAGTATACCCTCTTTATGTTCTGAATCTAATGTTAATGTTCTCATCTTATACTTATGGCATCATTATTCTAAGAACACGAAACACAAAATCATATTCCAATTATTCTCAATTGCATGTTGCCATGACTTTCTCCCTCTGAAAGATTGCTTTACTTAAAAGCACATCACATTTACTTGTGGGAACTTCTAGAAATCACACTAATTAAGTGCACATGGAAAAATTACTCAGCGTTCCAGGGTTGCTTCATAGTCTATACTTAGATAATGGATTAGCACAAGTGGAAGAAAAACAATAATATAAACCATAAGTCAAAGGAATGATAAATTTTAAACCTGTGCCCTGAAAGGTAATGTATACCTTCTACCTCATAAGATTGCTACTAATCATTTATTGTATAGAGGCTTTTAAAAATATACGTTGAATCAATAACTACAGTTTCTGGAATCCTTTATAATTCGTCTAACAAATTGCTACTGATATATATCAGAAGACAACTCTAGAGATTAAGCCTCTTATCATCAATGAGAACGATTCAGCTGTAATTTATGTCTCCAAACAACTATTCTATTTTGGTAAAGTGTTGACTTGCATCTTAAGTTCTAGGAATTAACATATCAGTGATCTAAATAATTTCATTAATTAAGACTGTGACTGGGTTGCAGCCCCAAATGTATTGAGCATACCTTTTTTTTTGAGGAAGATTAGCCCTGAACTAACATCTGTGCCCATCTTCCTCTATTTTATATGTGGGACACCTACCACAGCATGGTTTGGATAAATGGTGCTAGGTCTGCGCCCAGCTCTGATCCTCTGAACCCAGGCCACTGAGGCGGAGCATGCGAACTTAACCACTATGGCACCAGGCGGCCCCTTGAACATACCTTTTAATCTACATTCCTAGAATGCCCTCCCTCTTCATATTTTACTTCCTACCAGATACACTTTCCTTTCTGTATCAAAGCTCCCCCAAGTCTCACCTCCTCCCCAAAACTTCCCAAGCTAAATGTCAACAAAACTACAATGTTTTTCAACCTAAATCCCACAAAGTGGGCGAGTTTAATGTAAAAATGCTAATCTGTCTTTTTTTTTCACCCAGCCCCCGCCTCCCCCACCCTAATAACTCCACTCCTACTATAGAGCTCTGCCCTTTAATAGCTCTTAGATATTTTCTTACCAATATTTACCTGTCTTGTATTCCATTCCCTCAGGGTTTCAAGTGATGATTAGATCATCCGGGAAACTAATCTAAGTTAATGTATTACATTGAAGTAGCACTGCCTATGGTGATGTGATAGGATGGGTATACAACATGGCATCTGAGAATGTATAAGCTAAGAGGGAGGAGGTCATCAGTCACCAAGCATGGGAACTGTAACCAGCTAATCAGATTCTACCACAGTTAGGAAAAAGTTTTGTTTCTGGTTTGTTTTATAGCTTATGGTATATATTTTAGTTTCAGTACTTTAAAGAAAATAAACTTAATGACTAGTAAAATCCTTCATTTAGAGAACACAATGTATAAAAAATCTCATGGAATAAACAGATGTTACTGAAACTAAAATTTAATGAATTATAATTAAGTGGCTATTGTAACACATACCATCTGATTAAATATTACTTTCCTTGAGCATATTCTGACGCACCAACCTAAAGGCCAAGTGACTTCATTCTTCCCAGAATGGCAATTTCCCAGCATAACACATCCTGGAATGTATTATTGTGGTTTCAAAATGGTCTGTGTAGTGGCAAATTTGTCATAATTAAGATGTTTTGCAGAAAATAATAACATGCCTATTAAAATATTAAGTGAAAGCTATTCCTAATTATAAATGTTGACATGTAAAGATTTATAATTTCATATACTTTTACATCTAGTTTTATTTATGTAATTATATAAAAATTTATATATAATTCATATTATTTCATATATAATGTATAATTTTATATGCATATATAATTTTAAACTCATTTTAACTTTTTACAGATTAAGTTCAGACTCTTTTCTCCACACAATTTAGTTGGTATCCTCCTTTTTAAATATAAAACTTCTGAGAAGACTGATGGACCAAGAATAAGGTAAATTAAGTCTTCATGAATTTAAAAAGCAAATAAACACCTATGTTAGTTAGGGAAGGGAGTAACAGGTGAGTTCTCCCACTACTAGTGAAGATGTATATTGTTACATTTTTTTCTGGAGGTCAATTTGGTCTTTATAGGAAACACCTTAAAATTGTGCATACCTTTTCCATCTAAAAAATCCCCTTCTGGAGATTCATCCTAAGGAAATAATCAGGTAAAAGCATAAAGTTGCAGATACAGGGATGTTCATCGTAGCATTGTGTATCACATTAAAATAATGGTAATCATCTAAAAGAACAAAAATAAGAGCTTGATTAAATATATTATGGTATATAGCTACAATGAACAATTTATGCTCTAAAACGATTATGCAGATTACATATATTAACATGGGAAATGTTGATGTTTGTTCAGTGAAAAAAGTCAGATCACAAATATATATACAGTATGACCCATTTATATTTTTAATATGAATTTACAAGTGTATTTAAACCTCTCTGTGCATGTGTGTGTATGCACTTCATGCATAAAAAGTCTAAATTTACAGTACACTCTCATGAATTTTCTATGACGAAGGAAATGTTCTGTATCTCTGTTGTCTAATACAGTAGTCTCTAGCCACTTGTGGCTGTTGAGCACTTGAAGTGTGGCTAGTGCAAATGAGGAACTGAATTTTTAATTTAATTTTAATTTAAATACCACATGTGGCTGGTGGCTACTATATTGGGCAGCACAGATTGAGAAGGGTATATATACAGTTGATGATAACAGTGGTTATGAGTTACTCTCCTTTATTTTCTTCTTTTTACCTTTCTAATTTCTAAGGTTTACAAATGAACATGTATTACATATGTGATAAGAAAAGAATAAGAGTTCTTTTTTGAAAGGTCAAAGAGGGAATTGAAGTATAGGTCTAGGACTCTGAAGACCTGGATTTGAGTATTGGTCTTGCCATTTATCAGCTATATTAGTTTTTACTTAAAATTTCTAAATCTGTGTAATACCTGCAACACCTCTTATGATATTATTATTCATGGTGCTTTTGATTAAATTATTTAAGGTTTATGACCAATGTCATCATTTAGAGAAAGTTAAGAGTAAAGCATCCTTTCTTCTTGTTTTTCTTTTCTTTTCTTTTCAATTCTCTTGAATTTCTTTTTGTTTTCGTGAGGAAGATTGGCCCTGGGCTAACTAACATCTATTGCCAATCTGCCTCTTTTATTTATTTATTTATTTATTTATTTATTTTTTGCTTAAGGAAGATTGGTCCTGAGCTAACATCTATGCCAATGTTCCTCCATTTTGTATGTAGGATGCCGCCACAGCATGGCTTGATGAGTGGTGTGTAGGTCCATGCCTGGGATCAAACTCACAATCCTGGGCTGCAGAAGCATAGTGCACAAACTTAACCACTATGCCACTGGGCCAGCCCTCTATCTTAGAATTTCTACATGGGGAATAAAATAATGGAGAAAAGAGAAAAAAGAAATGTAAGAATACTGAAATAAACTATGATTACGATGTTTATGAAATAGGAAATAAAAACTAAAAGCTTGCATAGACATTGGCCACATTTACCAAAATAAAATGAAATTACTTGAGACACTTAATGTGAATGAAATATTCAATGTGTCTTATAGTTAACCATTAACCATTTTAATAAGGCATAATAAAAACAAAAACGTTCATCTAAGAAGATCTCATTCATTAGTTATCCAAAACATTAATAGAAGCCATGCACTCTCATTTAATTACATTTCACTAATTAAATTTTAAAATCCACTTGACTATGCAATAAAAATATGGCATTTTGTATGCCCAGGATATAATAACATGGTAGTTAAAAAGTAGTTTCCTGCTCTAAGAGATTGGTAAAGGATCTTCTTAAGATAACATTTTGTAAATTCAGAAGAGCTCTACTTAAAGAGTTCTTAATTCAGTGAAAAGGGTCATTGCTTTATGAGGTCAACAGAAATGCTCTGATAGCAGTACTTTAAAAAATATAGCAAAACTTAAAAAGCATTCACTTAGAAGTTGAACACAAAATTATGAATTTTATATTCCAAATGAAATCAGCAATAGAATATAACGGCACTTGGAAGCTAACATTTAAAGCAACTCAGAAAACTTTTCCTCCAGGATGCCCAAAGGGAATAATGTTTTTAAAGACTAGTGAGTGTATCTTAGGATATTCTTGTAGGATTCAAATAAGAAGCGAAAAGAAATAAACTATAATTATGCAGAAAAATAAAAAATATAGAAAGATGTTTATTAAATATATTAAGAATGAAAAATAACATAAAAAGAATATCTCAACTATCCTAATGATTAGATTGAAGTGTTACTTTTAATCTGTCTTCGTGATCTGATTCATCCAGGTGGCTACAAGTGGATGAAAAACCAAAGATGGCACTAACATACATGAGAAAATAGATATTTTTCTAAACTGAGAGATTTCTAATTTGTAAATTCCAATTCTTCACTCTTATGTTTCTTAAGGAACTAGCTGAAGTCATCACAAGCCACTAACAATTATTTTCAAGGCCCAGGGAGACTGGCCTGATGCCAGTGGACTAGGTTTTAAGTGCTTATAACCACAAGGAGGGAAAATAACAATGTTAGAAGCTATAGATTCATAACATCAACCACATAACTCAGAAAATATTGATACATATTTCAAAGAAATAGATTTGCAGTCATTTAGACTATGGATAAAAAAACCCAAAAACAAAAAACCAATATGGCCCTTTTTCTTTCTTTGAATGTTATTAAAAATGACTATGGTAATTATTTCTAAGTTTTTGCATTTGAGCAAGAGAGTAATATTATAGTGGTTTTTAGTTTACAAAATATTTTGAATGTCACTTTTATACCTTTACCATGAAACTATGAGCTGAGATTAGGATGAGATGAGAATTTTACAAATGAGAAAACTCAGAAAAACTGGTATGTTTATCTAAGGTAAGTGGCATTGGTGGGGCTTGAACCCAGGTTCTTGATTTCAAGGCTGGTCTCCTGGCCTTTATGACTACTCCGAGGCAGAAGCATACCAAGTACATAGCTGTTTATTGATCCAGATATCTTTACTTCATACATTCCTCGAGCTAGGGAATGAAGTCCTGATGAATCTTTTCTCCTCTTCATTCCCTCATCCCCACCACAATAGCATAGGTAGTATGGCTCCTTCCTGGTATCCAACTATTCTTGCTTTGAGATGGGCACACATGCCCTTCTGTCTGGAATACAGCAGATCATTACCGTATACTTGAAAAATAAACTCCAGTCTAGACCAGCTGATTCTTTTAACAACATGCAATATCAAACCCATTTGGAAGCATTCTAAATCACTGTTCTAAAATGTCAGGAAACTATTGTCCTAGGGAAAGCAAATAGCAAAGTCACATAATTACTTAGTTTTAAAGCAAAACTTGTAACAGGAAAGAAATATTTGGTGTGTCACTTGCTATTGCCTGGTTCTTCTCCTTTCCTAAGAATTCTTGTACTAAAAGGAACAAGCCCTTTACACTAGGCAAATGACAACTCAGTCTGTGACTGATCAATAAAGTAATCTGTGGTTGTATAACACTAGTGCAGACAATAAATTTGGGTTTCTCCAAGTCAAAAATAAAATATAAGGTAAAGCTGTGTTTACTTTTTAGTGTGTATGTTCAACAATTATATCCTTCCTTTCCATGATTCCATAGAAATGTTTTCACTCCTTTGGAAGAAGAGATGGTGAAAGCCCAGATATTGACCTCCAAGATTTTCCACACAGTTGAACCCTCCCTACACGTATGATAGGACACATGAGAACATGAAAGGGTCAACTGTCTTCTTATTCCTCACAAACAAGGCTAGTTCATAAAGCAGGCATTCTTACTCCTTTTCTTACTTATGTAGAAGGAATTTCACAAAAGCCATTTCCAACCTGTAAAATAATTTAAAGTAATAATCATGTTTTGGCGCTGAGGAATAGCTTTTAGGTTAGCCAGGCCTTTCTCGGCAGGGTAAGATTACAATCTGGTGAATCTGAGCTGTGAAAACAACTTTTCTTTGTAATTCTGACAGAATATACATCCACTGTCCTTTAGGGTAAGAAAAACCAAAAGTAATTCAATCATGTTTTAAACAAGTCATTTTAATTTTCATGTTAATAATATTTATAATATCACTAACTGTGACACTGAAAGACTAAGCACACATTAAATGTAGAATTCATGCTCAAATATGAATTAGCCTTTAATGTCTGAACATCTCTTGAGCATTTATTATGTGCTTGGCATTAAGATAAGTGCTTTATCTACATTATCTTGGCTACCCCTCATTAATAATCCTATGAGTTTCAAAAGGATTACGTCCATGTTATACATTTATTTTCTTTCTTTCTGCTTTTCTCCTTTTATTTTCTGTAGTTTAATGCACATATTCTCATCTTTGATCATAATTTCCACATGTACAGTATACAGGTACCGAAAAACATCTGAACCAAAATACATTTTTAGTATTTTTTTTTTGTTGGTAAAAATGTGACAAAATGGGAAGTCCCATGTTTTACTGATCAAGGTGATATTTATTTTTTTATTGAGGTAATACTGGTTTATAACGTCATATAAATTTCAGGTATACATCACTATATTTCGACTTCTGTGTAGATTACACTATATTCACCACACAAAGAGTAATTACCATCCATCACCACACACTTGTGCCCAGGCACCCCTTTTGCCCTCCTCCTTTCCCATTTCCCCTCTGGTAACCACCAATCTAATCTCTGTATCTATGTGTTTGTTTGTTGTTGTTGTTGTTGTTTTTATCTTCTATTTATGAATGAGATCATATGGTATTTGACTTTCTCCCTCTGACTTATTTTGCTCAGCGTAGTACCCTCAAGGTTCATCCACATTGTTGGAAATGGCAAAATTTCATTTTCATCTTTTTTTATGGCTGAGTAGTGTTTCATTGTGTATATATATCACATCTTCTTTATCCATTCATCCCTTGATGGGCACTCAGGTTGTTTCCAAGTCTTGACTATTGTGAATAATACTGCAATGAACATAGGGGTGCCTATAACTTTACACATTCGTGTTTTCATGTTCTTTGGATAAATATCCAGTAGTGCAACAGCTGGATGGTATGGCAGTTCATTCCTAATTTTTTGAGGCATCTCCATACGTTTTCCATAGTGGCTGTACCAGTTTGCTTTCCCACCAGCAGTGTATGAGGATTCCCTTTTTTCCACATCCTCTCCAAAACTTGCTATTTCTTGTCTTGTTAATTATAGCCAT